AATATATGTAAATATATATATATACATATATAGAAAGAAAGAATCAGATAGATAGGAAGAGAGAGGTAGAGAGACTGGGTGACTGAGTCAGCGAGAGAGTCGAAGAAAATGAGATATTCATTATATATTCCGATTGATAGGTAGTTTCTCTCTTGCTTTTCTAACTGCTCACCTCTCCAGCCATCAATAATATAGAGAGATTCCGACTCTTTCGCATGAAGCCTATCAAGCACAACTGTTTGGGGTCTGATCTAAGATATGCCAACTAGTTGCATATGGTTATATTCAGAGAAGACTCATCGTAAAACTCCAAACTTCATTATGCACATTAAATAGTTACAGGGTATATTAACAAATCGCTTGAGTGATGCCCAACTTAATGGTGTTTTATACTGCATGCGTGTGTGCTATGCTCCGACTGTGGCTTGGATTTTCCGAGACTTTTTGAGTTGACTCTGCCCTATGCGCATGAGTTGCAACAGGGGCCGGCAAAATGACACCACACAAAACGGCGACAGACATGACAGACCCAATGTTGCTGTTGTTGTTGTTGTTATTGTTGTTGTTGTAGCTGCTGCTGCTCAAAAACAAAAAACTGCAATTGCTTTACGACCTGGCTAGCTGCATGTGTGCGAAAAATGAAACAAAAACCCGGCCCAGGTCTAGTTGGAGTGCGGCGGAGTCTGCGTAATCGTTGCACGGAGATTTGCATCTTTGATAAGAGACGGGTGTTGGCTTGTCACTCATGCTCAATAGCTGTTTGCCTCTCGTTGTTGTTAATGGTTTGTTGCCGTTGTTGTTGTGTTTGTTTTTGTTTTCTTGCTTTTACTTTGCTCGGCCATTCACTTTCTCCACATGCCTTTTATTTGACTTTGCTGTTTACTTTGCTAATTTTTTGGCTCTTTCAAAAGTGAAACAGCAAAACCAGAGAGACGCTGCGACGATTATGTATTGGCGTATGCAAATTTCCCATCGATATTATTCAATCATCTGATTTGTAGTAGTATTTGTAGCGGCACGCAACGCTTCTAATCGCCTGACTCGAATGCCATCGGAGCTCTGGTGCTTTATGATGACACAATTTGGCATAATTTGGTGAGGCATTGCATCAGTCGGCTTAATGTTGACGCATTGCGTGCATTGTGCTCCAATTCCTGCGATAAGTATTATTCATAACAAAAACTAGCTGAAACAACAACAGCAACAGCAACAACGAGCGAGAAGCGCAGAGCGACAGGCGGCGGAGCAATGCCAAGTTCGTTGCCTAAGTCTTTTGTTAGCGGGCGTCGAATTGATGTCGCGCACTTTACGACGCGATCTTTTTAACCCATTCACAGGGCCATATAAACAGCACCCAATCAATCAGCAGACCGACAGGTGCACAACTCATGCCTCAAATGACAAAGTCACAGACGTTGCCAATTAACATAGGTCGTCTAAAAAATTGTATGCTTCATTTTATGTGTGTGCAGATGAGTGCAGTTAAAAAGAAGTCGCGACGCATCGCTCAGCATCTCTGTCTGTCTGTCTGCCTGCGTGCCTGCGTGCCTGCCTGCCCGACTTGTTTGTGTCATCTTCATCTACTTGTCCAGTCTATTTGCTTGTTGAATTTGGCTTGGTTTGGTTTGGGTTGCTTGGGTTTGTCTAGCTTTCGAGTTGCCCAAGTGAAAGGCCTGCGGTGAGTGTCGAGTATTTTTGTGAGCATTTAGTCAAATGGGTATTATGAATATATTGAGCCATTTGTAGAGAAATTTTTATTTTTATAGCCATCAAAAGATTGCAAAAAGTTGCCTTAACAGACTAACTTGCCATAAATCCTTTTATGTGACATTTAAATTAATTTTATTCAAGCTCGTTAGCTAAATATATATATTTACATACTTTGTATGTTTCGGCAGTGTATTCCATCTTCAGTGCGTATTATTTTTATTTTTTCTTCGTTTTCATATTTGTTGTTTGGCACAGCTTTGGCTAAGCGCAGCTCAGCTGAATTTCGAATTGAAATTAAAATCTCTCAAGACGCAGCAGCCTATGCGTTGCTTACATAAGGTAAGACCGCTCCGGATCCGACATACTTGAAAACACTTGGAAACACTGGCTGCAAGCAGCGCTCGACTCATGCAGTTGGCCGGTTGTCCAGCACCCACTAATCGAACAGGAAGAAGACAGGGCGATGCATTCACTTTGCATGAACGGCTTTGCAGAGCCGCCGCGACAGAAATCAATTTGAGATTTTGTCACAGTTTTATGTGTGGACATTAATCTTCGTATATTTCGATCGGTTTTATTTTATTTACGATTTACGATTCGGCTGATCTGACTGTTGACTAAAATGTAGGCGAAGGTTATATTTGTTGCTTTTTAATTAATTTCGAATTCGTCTTTATTTATGAGAGAATTAAAATATATTGTAGCTTAGCACATTAACTTTCAATATATATAGTTCCGGCACAAAGCTAAGTAATTGTAAGAAGAGCAACGAAATAGGCTGGTAAAATAATACAAACTATAAATATTTACAAGAGAATTTTATCTACATTAGATAAAAAATTAAATTTCACTTGCGTCAAACTACTATATGCAAAATATTTTTATTATTTGCATAAATAAGTTTTTAAATAAACAATTATTTAAAATAGTTTCTTTTAAAATACATTTATAAATATGTACAGCGCGCCAACATTCAAACTAGGACGTTTGATTCAAGTTGCTAGCAAAAATGTAATCGAAACGACTGCCTATCGGCAGCTATCGATGACTTGTTCAGCCTTATGTGTGTGCTCAGCTGTTCGCTGTGTTACATGTGGTCGTGTGCATGTGAGTGTATTTATTCATAACCAGAGAGTGTAAAAATAACAGTCAATGCAACAGGGGTGAGCATCATAAAATATACATATTATGCGCCGTTAAGGTATAACTCGCATATTTTGTTTAAGTGCATATAAGGCAAAAAATAAAACAACCAAAATTAATCACCATAAGCAGAATAGGAACAAAGTGTCACAAGCAGTGCCGAGTGTATGTGTGTTAGAGATGGTAAATGTTGCGATATTTCACTTACAGTGACAGCTGGAAATGACAAAACACCTATTTGATATGTTACGAACAGTTACTAACAATGACTGAAATACATTAATTCAATTTACATACAAAAAATTACACATTCAGTTAGTCTTAAATTACCAATTTTAACCGCAGTATAGTCTCAACAAATAATAATGCCGTGTATGCTATCTTAAATTTCAGGAACTGCGACCAGTTCAAATACCTGCGATTGACCAAAGTCGCGATAACAACGCTCATCGCTCTTAAATCTGCACGAGTGTGTGTGTGTGTGTGCGGGTGTGTGAATGAAAAACTTGCAACTGTGAAAATATAACCAAAAATAAAGGTAAATCTGTCTAGAGTACGTTGACTCCCCGCCAGCGACAGTGATATAGCCCATCAACAGCTGGAAAGTTGCAGCACCAGCACTAGGAGCAGGTAAGCATGCAAACCCCCGCATATTCCTTGCCAACCTGTGCACTCAGCTGTGTCCTTCTGCTTAGAACTAAAATATTACTTTCGTTAAGCAGCGGCGACTCAGGTGGCCATGGCGGACACGGCGACAGCAGCTACAACTGCGACGGCCTCCAAGAAAAAGTATCGAAATAAGAAGAAGACACAACAGCCACAGAAGCCGGAGGCAAAGCCAGCACAAGGACCAGCAAGAGTCAAGGCTGTTGTACACCAGTCCAATGGGCATGACGACTCTGCGAATGAAATGGCCGCAATCAATAGCCTCATGGAGCAGGTGCAGCTGTTTAATGGCCATGCTGTAGACGGGCCAAAGGTGACAGCTGAATCGTCCTCTGTGGCTGCCACGGTCAATGGGCATGCCAATAAGAGCGCTGCCATYAACAACAACAATCACATAAACAATAACAACAACAGCAGCAACAATAACAACGATGTGAACAACATCAACTCTAGCAGCCGCAACAGGAAAAACAATGGCAGCAGTAGTAAAGCGAAAAACAACAACAAGTCCCAGGCATCAATAGAGGATTCGGAAAGCGGAGAGCACGACACATTAACAGCCGCGGTAGCCACAAGCAGCACAAGCGACACAAGCACTGCCAACACACATACAACAACAGCAACTACAGCTAAGATTGCCGCTGCGGACAGCACCCAAGATGAGGCGCCCTCGACATCGGCAGCTGCCGGAGCAGGCGCCACTACGGCACAGCCCCAAGAACAAGAAGAAGAACAACAACAAACACAGCTCCAGCTTAAACCTGCCATTACAGCCGATGAGATAGTTTATAAGGAATACGAAGCCGAGCATCAAATGCACGTAAGTGATGCCATTCCATCCACAGCATATTGTGCGTAATTTGACACACCTTCGATCTATTGCAGGAAATAATGCGTCTGATACAGGCAGAGCTGTCCGAGCCATATTCGATATACACGTACCGCTACTTCATCTACAATTGGCCAAAACTATGCTTCCTCGCCGCGCACGATAATCAATATGTGGGCGCCATCGTATGCAAGCTGGACATGCATATGAATGTGAGGCGCGGCTACATTGCGATGCTGGCGGTGCGCAAGGAGTATCGCAAGCTTAAAATTGGCACCACGCTCGTGACCAAAGCCATTGAGGTAAGTGTCTGTGTGTCCAGATAATTGGACAATTAACTGTATTCGAGTCATTCCCCTTTCAGGCTATGCTAGCGGACAATGCTGATGAAGTGGTGCTAGAAACGGAGATGCGTAACGAGCCAGCGCTGCGTCTGTATGAGAACTTGGGCTTTGTGCGTGATAAACGACTTTTTCGTTACTATTTAAACGGCGTCGATGCGCTGCGCCTGAAGCTCTGGTTTAGATGAGCCGACGCGTCGTTCAATGATGCCGTTGAAATTATTGTCTAGTGGCCGCCAAGCGAGAGCTCTAATTAGGTTGCCTTGTTTCGACTATACAGTTAACACCCAATGTTTCCTTGGGCTGGCTTCCATACTGTCCACACGAACAGGACTCTGTTTTTTTTTTTTTTTTTTTTAACAGATATATGTATATATATATATACCAAAATATATATGTATGTGTATATGAATATGATTAGGCGTTTGTTTGTCGTTTAATTTTCTCTCACCGTGGCGCATGACAAACAATATTTTGTACCTATGAACTAGGAATTACAGTTTTAAATTTCTTTAATTAATGTATGTAAATTATTTTAAATAACTTTAGCGTATGGCAAACAACCAACCACATTAACTAATACACAACAGCCGTAACAACAACAGCAGCAACAACAGAAATAACAGTAAAAAATTAAATACATGGAAATAAAAACGTTACATACACATGCGAAACGTGCTTTACATACTTACATAATTACCCAATTACGAGTACAGTTAATGTTTAAAAGCAGAATCAGAAGCAATAACCGGTTGCATTATATTTGTAAATTAGACAAACGATATTACAACTAAAAACGCATAAACTAAACACAAAAAAGAAAAAAGAAAGAAAAAACAACATAAGACACATCAACTAATAACCAAAATATTCATATTTATTTAGGTATATGTATGTTATAATAAAAAAGAGAACAAGAAACTCACAGCAAACAAACAAGAAAAAGAAAAAAAAAGAACAACAACAACAAATGTATATCAAATAAACATTGAAACTGAAACAACACACAGACATGCAAAATATCGTAAACATTTACATAAGTACACATTGACATCCAGATATAAATATTTATATATGTTGTGTCTTGTTATGCACACACACACACATACATACAAGCATAAGTACATACTTTCACTCGTACTTGTATTAATACAAAGAAACAAACAAACATATATTGTATATACATACATACATATACAAATATATGTTGAATCAAATTACGCGTGCTAACTTGTGGCATTTTAAACATTTACAAAACATAGTTGAACAACAAGAGAAATGTGAGAACATAAACTTGAACGAAAAACATTTCGTGAATATATAGCATGAGGCGTGTTGTTAACGATCAAGACTTTGCCCTAATTATAGATAATTACAAAACAAAAGAAAAAGAACAAAAACTATAGAAAACAAAACTGAATAAATTGAGCAATTATGAAAATCTAATCACAATTTGACTAACTGCTTGAATATATGTAGATATACATATGTATATGTATCTATATTGTATACATATATATTTACAATGTATTTCTATGCAGTAATATTCAGCCAACAGATGGTATGGATAAGTGGTTCTAGATATACATAGTGTGGAAACTAATACCTGTCTGACTTACGTTTATCACTTATATCAGCCTCTTTTTATAAATAGATCGTAACCTATGTAAATTTGAGACTCTTCGACCCAACAGTCAATGGATCCCTAAGCGAATGCTTCTATAATGTATTCCATGTAAAATTCATTTATTCAGATCTATTTATAAAATATTTCAGTAGCTTCGTATTTCATTTGCGAGACCTCTCAGACTCACAATGGTATCTTTGGTACATATATCAGATGTTATATTTAAGGACTACATATCAAATACATAAAATATTCTGTCTTTATTTTACACAGCCCACCCAGCTGACTCATTGCAAAACATTGACTAACTTTAAAATATTTCAGTAGCTTCGTATTTCATTTGCGAGACCTCTCAGACTCACAATGGTATCTTTGGTACATATATCAGATGTTATATTTAAGGACTACATATCAAATACATAAAATATTCTGTCTTTATTTTACACAGCCCACCCAGCTGACTCATTGCAAAACATTGACTANTATAAAAAAAAAAAAAAAAACAACTACAATACTTAACGCTTAACGTAGGTGGTGCAGACGGGAATAGCTTGGAAGCAGTTCCCCTGGGTCCGCACATACGAGTTGCATATACAAGGCTGCAGCATGCTCGTACACTGTACGCCCACATGGCTGCGTTTTGGGGCGTAACGCTTAACAATATGAACAACATTTAGTTAGCTAAAAATATGTAGTCAGAGTGGAGTTACTTTCTATTTATATATAAAAATATATACACTAAGCCGGGATTTGTCTACAGAAATGCCGCCGGTTATCACCTGCTGCGTTTGGTTTTAGCTGCGGACGTCGCCGTCGCCGTCGTCGTCGTCGTTGTGCTGGACTCACGCAGTTGCTTGAGCTCGCTGCGTGCAGCTGCCTTAATGCTCTGCACCTGCTGGCGCACGGTGGAGTTTTTGTAGTTGACGGGCGGCGGTGTAGGCGCTGACGTCTGGGATTTGTCAAACAGATCGCTGACCTCGACCATGCGCGGTTTGAAGAACATGTTCGGGCGTATGACAGACTTCTCGGGATGTTTGAACAGGTTGAGCAGGCCCCAGGACTGCTCTCGTCGCTCGCTCTCTGAGAGTGTTGCGTTCTCCACCTCCGACTCGAGCATCCAGGCAGCATTGCGCACCTCGATGCGCAGTCGCTCGCACTCCTCCAGGCTGACGTTTTTGCTCACATTCAGCAGCTGCTCCAACGGATTCACAATGTACATTGCTGAGTGATCCGGCTTCGCCAGGGCGCGGCCCTCGTTCAGCGATATGGCCCGATTGTGAAAGTCAAACTGTGAGTAGAACTCAAAGAACTGTAGGAGCAGTTCGCTCAGGCTGCTCGTATTTCGACTTTGGAAGCGCACACGCTCCATGTCCCGCGCAAAGGTACAGTTGATGCCATCCTCAGTGACCCGAATGTCCGCTGTGTTCGCGGCCTTCACCATGGCTCCAATCGACGGCAGTATGGGCTGCCGCATCTGCTGCAGGAAGAACATGACCAGGCAGGTCAGCGAGAAGTTGGTAATCCAGCGTCCTGGCGACGGATTTGTTAGGCCACACGATTGCGCCCAGCGCCGCACGCAAAAGGTCAAGGGCCGCACGCGCGGATCCATCTCTCCAAACATGTACAGCAGCTCGGACATGAAGAAGCCAGTGCTGTAAGGGAATATAGCATATCCAGTGAGTCAAGATTCAAATACTTTTACTTTTAATAAGGTAAAGCTAAAAGGAGCGTATGGTGATTGTTTGTAGGAGAATTATCCATATAAAACCTTTTTCCAGACCATGATCTCCCATTTCCAATAATTAACATAAATATACAATAAAATAAATAATAATATTAGTCATAGCAACAGAGCTGTTCTAAGAAACCATATTCCATTTCCAATAGTTAAAAAAACTTAGAATTCTAATTCTATTAGTTTCCTCAAGTCACAAAGATACAAAGCTTTCGTGCTTTGTGATTCACCTGCCATAGTAGCGCCAGGGCGTGGCATTTCATACGGAGAACTGACCATCTCCACCGACCGGATACGGGCTTGAATGCATTGTGCGCTTAGTTTTATCAGCAACTCGTTCATCAGCGGCACCGACATTGTGAATCATAATCGAATCACAAACGGAATGCCAATGTGGTGGGAGGTACATTATGTGTAACTGATTCACCTGCAGCAGGGGCAAAAGGGATGACAATACTATCCCGTTATGTGTGCTTTATATGCCATTTGGCAATCGGCAACTGTTGCTATCTAATCTTATCAGCAAAAGCTTTGGCTTGCCTCAGCCTCAGCCGCAGCGTATGCTTATCTTATCTTATCTTAGGACTTCTTCCTCCGAGTTTGTACTGTGGATGTTGTCATCACATCAACTTGGTCAGGTTGCTGGTATGGTAACCGTTTTCTGACAAAACGATTTTAACGAACGAACCAAACGGAGTTCCGATAACGGCGTATAAAATATATTATATATTTATACACTTGTTTTTTGAGCTATAAACAATCAAAAAGGTAGTTGTTCACCTTTTTTTTCCATTGTTCAGTGTAGAATACAAAAAAATTATAGAAATACTTATAAAAAATAAAAATAAAAAACGATTTTTTTTTTTTTCAATAACTGTGCAAATGAATTGACCCTCAATGGAAAAGGCCAAATCGTTTTTTTTTTTTTTTCTTAGTTAAGAATGTGATCAATAATACATCAGAAAGCTTGTGTTTCATATAGAGTTTGGTAATATTTTTGGTCTGAAATTGAACGAGTGTTGCAATAGGAAACCTATATATTAATCATATTGTGTGTATGCCACTTCTTCGCTGTGAAACGAAAGATAATGTTATTTGCTAAACACAACGCTGATAAGGCCAAGTGACTTGGCCGCCTTCAGCGTGGGTCTGGGCCTGGGCACAGAGAAGGAGGCATCGGAAGCTCGTGTGATTAACAGTTGGGCGTGATATGGGTCGAATTTTATACTAGCGCTGACTCAGTTACGTTTATTACTGTAGGACAGGTGGAAAATGGCATAAATTTGAGTCTTTGGTATATTGAATCTAAGGCCAATAATTTGATCTCCAACTCTTTTGCAGCCTTCCACAATGGGCATTGGCTATGGACCTGCCGACGAGCAGCTGGAAAAACAGATCGGCTGCGTGAAGTACACGCTGTTCTGCTTCAACATTATCGCCTGGATGATATCGACGGCGCTGTTCGCCTTGACCGTTTGGCTGCGTGCCGAGCCGGGCTTCAATGACTGGTTGCGCATCCTGGAGGCGCAGGCCTTTTACATTGGCGTCTACGTGCTGATCGCCATCAGCATCATCATGATGGCCGTCAGCTTTCTGGGCTGTCTCAGTGCGCTCATGGAGAACACGCTGGCTCTCTTCGTATTCATTGGCACACAGATATTCGGCTTTATTGCCACTGTGGCCGGCTCGGCCATATTGCTGCAGTACAGTACAATTAATTCGAGCCTGCAGCCGCTGCTGAATGTGTCGCTGCGGCGATTTGTGTCCACTTCTGAGTACTCCTACTCTAACTATGTGCTGACCATGATCCAGGAGAATATTGGCTGCTGCGGTGCCAGCGGACCGTGGGACTATTTGGACTTGCGCCAGCCATTGCCCAGCTCGTGCCGCGACACCGTCAGCGGCAATGCCTTCTTCAGTGGCTGCGTGGACGAGTTGACCTGGTTCTTTGAGGGCAAAACTTCCTGGATTGTGGGACTGGCCATGCTGATGGCAATGCTATCGGTGATCTGTGGCGTTATGAGCTTTGTTCTAGTCCAGGCCGTCAAGAAGGAGGAGGAACAGGCGAGCAACTACAGACGCTAAGAGCTGACATAAAGCCAACATAACAACCATTTAGTTAGTTTTAACAGCTTAAAAGTACCTGGACGAGCGCACAGTGCAAGGAGTTTTATCCACCGTTGATGGCTAACTCCAATCGAACAATAAGAACGTTAATAAACCATGAAAATAAAGCCTACTAACGTTCCTACTAGTGTAGGGAACTACTAGTGTATCGAAACTATTCAATGTACGGCAATTTTTGTAAGAATATCAAGTTAATAAATGAATATAGTTGTTTATCCACTACTCACAGGTTGCTCATGGATAGATCAATTTCCAGGTCGAGGTGCTCGTGATGGTATTTGATGATGGGCACTCGCGCCTGCAGAATACGCCGCACATGACAGACTCCGGGCAGAAACAGATGCAGCATATCACCAATGCACTCCATTTGTCGTTGCGTCTGCGAACGTCCATTGCTTAGATTCTCCTTAGTGTGGTATATGAGACGCGATGCTTCGCGTTGACTATCTTGATCCGTGCCTGGGGTTTTGCCATCGAAGCGCAATATCAAATCCAAATCACAGCCCATTTTGCCAAAGCCATTCACCGAGGATCCGAATGGCTGTGCCAACGCATCCGGAAACATGCCCGAGATGGCCTGTTCCACCTGGAGCGCAGCGATAAAGCGCATGCGCACGCCCAATTCATTCAAACGTGTCTGTTCGTACAGCAGATTCAGTTGTTGATCGATGCCAGCGGCACCGCGCAATAACTCCTTCAAGGCTTCGTGGCTCAATGACCGCGTGCCGTTGACTGTGTGCAGCGCCAGCGTTTTCTGATTAGCCGCTAATTTAGCTTGTCCCCGTCTGCCAGCGCCTCCAGTTGGTGCTCTAAACCAAAGGAACGGCGAACGTACCGGCACGCCACTGCCGCTGAGTTCTGCATTGTAAGCACTTGAACTGATCGCGGCGGATGCTTCGCCGGCGCTGGCATACTCCAGCAGCATATAGTGCAGCTCATCCTCATGCTGTACGGAGTAGTGTTGGACAGTGACAATACGTCCGAATCGACTGCAGTAGTTATACAATTCGTTGTATGACTTCTCAGAGCTGACCTGTACCACGATGCTGCGCTGCGCCTGCTGTTGACGACTGTCAATGAACTCCTCATAGTTAGGTTTACCTGTGGGTCGACGTGACACTTATTTCAGATGAGTAACGTCAAATTAACTATTATTGTTTACCAACCTCGAGCAGCGGCTTCTGTACCGGCGGCGGCGCATTGTTTTATGCAATATGTGCGCCAATGGTGGAGCTGGGGTGATAGGCGCATTAGGGTGTTCATGGTGTTTGGCTGAAGCTATCGGGACAACCTCATATACCTGCTGTATTTAGTTTTGCTGGGAATATGACAAAACTTTACTATATATTAGTTCTATTGGCTTAGATTTGAGGTTATAGGGCTGCAGCTATTGCATACCAGGGCTGCCGTATGCATATATCGATTCGGTTTCACATTTGCCTTTCCACGATAATCGATATATATTGAGTTTGAATTTCGGCGCCTCAGATTAAATTTTTATTGTAAAGCAGAATAACAAAAGCATATTTACGCAATCTCTGCTCTTCTGTACTTTCAATTGGACTCATTGCCTTACACAGACTGTAATATAAACAATATATTGGTTTATTAAACTGTTTTAATACACATTTCAGTTAATATTGATATTACATATAAATTGATTTTTTTTTTTCAGTTTGTTCATGGATGCGTTATTTGCTCTTTGTATAACTAGGTTAAATTTATGCTATATAAGTATGTACGTCCAAAAGTAAAACGCTTTGTATATTTTTGAAATATAACGCGCAATGTTTTATGTGGGTTCCGTTAATATTTTCTTAAATATTTGATTATATACCTAGCAATATATATTTATAAATATATATACATACATATGTAATGTGGTATATATGATGAAGTTATTGCAGATATTTGTGGTAATACATTATGAAGGTTATAATTTTTTAATTGTTATTGCTTACTTAGTTTTGTCTTGCATTTAAAGAATTGGGCTTGAATTGGTTGTGATTTCGTGGCTCTTGCGGACGATGGCTAATCAATTTTGTGTGTGTGAGTGCTTGTGTTGTTTGTGTGTGTGAGTTAAGATACATATATTTAGAACATAAGGTATTTCAATCAAATCAGTTTCATTGATAATTTTTCGCCTTTGTGGTATCATAGATAGCGAAAGCGCCAAATTTGCAAAACAATTTGCTTCTGCTTTGTTTTGGGCTGTTGTTGGGTTTCTCCTTTGTTTTTGATTGTTTTTACTTATTATCTCATTATCACATATGTTTCCTCAAATAAATTATGCATGTATGTGCTTTGAGACAATACAAAACGTATGGAAACATATCTATTAAGCAACAATTTTACAGGCTTTCTAAGAATTAAACAATAGGAAATCAGCAAAATGACTTTACACAAGAAAGGAACATATTAAAAGCAGATTAAATTCTTGAACTTACAATTAATAAATAATTAGTACACAAGTAATTTTAATTTAGCTAAAGCTGCAATGTGCGCTGGGTTCGGTCTTTGAGTGTGTGTGTGTGGGAAGATCGCTTCTAAATGCATGTGCTGGATTTAACATAACTACCTTTAGTGTTGCACTTTACATTTGTATGTTATCATTGAATTAGTTTAGTGTTAGCAAAATGCACTCAAAATATTGCTTGCCGCGTTTCCCAATAACCCATGATCCCACTGTTTACGGCCCATGGCCAAAAGTCTAGATGTCGTCTATCAGCCGTCCCTCTATTACCGATGAATGATGATAGTTTGGACGCGGCCTGAAGTCCTCGTTCTGCTCATTCAATTGTGTGGGCGAGAGATCCACGCCTGGGCAAGATGGTGTCACAACAATTTGCTCATACTCGTGCATGCGTTTTCTATAATCGAATAGTTGATATTAACTAAATTTTGAATATACACATGCTATTAAAGTTACTTACCCAAAGCAACGGAAAATCACGCTCTTGAGCCAGCCAAAAAAGTTGAACTCTGCAGTCAAGCCAGGCTTGACGGCGGGATTAGCTGTGCCCACATAGAACCAAACGACGAATACGACCAAAAAACATGTTAAGGCATAATACCAGTTCACCAACAGCATAACCAGCAGCTTGGTGAGTGCCTGTAAAGGAACAAATATAAGATTAAAGTGAACTTCTAAGAGGTAGGAAACTATCCACTTACTCCCAGTAGCGAGGCCCAGCGATTGCAGAAGCCGGAGTACCAGTTTTTCGTCTTGGAATGTATAGGCGGACGAATCGGGGCAATTGGCTCGTTCTCATCATCTGCTTCGCTGCCAGCCTGTGCTGTGGAAGGGTCGACGGTCACGCCAGTGCCGTCTGCCATTGCCGCTGGCTCCTGTCCCGATGAAGTACTTGGTGCTGACTCATTGATGTCTACAATATTCTCTAAAGGCACTGCTGGCATTGTTTGCGCTTGATGCATCGGTGAGTTCTGAGGACTCTGCAGGTTCTTGTGCCGCACGCGATCCGGAAATAGCATATCCAGATCATTGCCCCCATCCGATACGCTGCCATAGCGACGCGTCTCATAGCTTGGACTCGATGCCTGTATACGAAAGCGTTCCTCGCGCTGCTCCTGAATATCAAAGGTTTGCGCCAGTGCGAAATAGGCGTAGTCTATGCAGGCATATGTCATCAGGAATGGCATCGTTACAATGGGCGCCAAAAAGTTAATGTCGCCTACGATAATAAAGGTTACGGTAACCAGAGCCACCACAGCCATTGCGTACAGGGGCACTTTATTAGGTCCGCGCTACATGAAATCAAATAGAAGAGAACAACGCAATATAAGCAACAAGACAGAGTGAGAGAGATAGAGCTATTTACGTACACCCTTGCCCAGCACATCAATACCAGGTATGACGCTTTCCTTGGCAATACTCTGCAGAACCCGCGGCGTGCCGTACATCGCACCCAGGCAAGACGACATGCTGGACACATAGATACCCGCCAGCAGCAGAAAGTGAACGGCCGAAACCTTCACAGAGATCATGTAGTCTGTGTATAATACTCTTCGCTTGCATGTTGCACCCAGAAACAGCACGAAAACTAAGTACAGGAAAGTGCTGCACAAAACAAAAAGGAATAAGTCAATCGATTGAGGAATCTATAACAATAAATGTCTTACGAAGTGCCAAAAGCAGCCAGTGTGCCGTTGGGAATGTCTGTGGATGGTGCACGGAGGTCGCCACTCATATTGATGCCGGATAAGACGCCAGTGACGGTGGGAAAGAATACTCCAAAGACTTGAAACCACGAGTAACCGTGTTCATATTTTGGCCAAAGATTTTCCATAAAATTTCCGCTCATCCACCCATCGAAGTCGTTTTCTGCCAAAATATGTAATATTGTTAGATATATTATGGAAGAAACGAAGAAGTGTTTTAGCACTTACCCGTATCCTCGCCCACAAAGCTGCCCACCATGAAATCCAGCGCAGATATGAGCAATATCATCAGCAGAATAAACTGCAGTTTGATCACCCACTTCACGCCGGCCACGTTGATGCAGCCGAGCAGTAGGACAGCTGCTGTTGCAAACCCGCGGATGGCCCATTTGTTATCCTCGAGACCCACTAGGCCGGCCATCGATTCGCCAAATCCCATCACGTTGAGGGCACAGCCCACAGCTTGTCCAAAGCAGTACAGTAAGCCGAGTGCCCCACCGAAACGGGAGCCGAGTGTGTGTGCAATGAGAAAATAAACACCGCCACTTTCCACGCGACATCTCTCACAGATACCAATGGCCGACAGCACACTAATCAAGGCAATGACCACAGTGCAGAAAATAATGAGCACGGCATTGATGATGCCAGCCTGGGCGACAATCCAGCCGGAGCGCAGGAAGACAATAACGCCAAACACGTTGATCAGGCAAGAGGTGAAGACACCATCCCATGTACCAAACAGCACCGGCTGTGAGATCAAGAAGTTCGAGCGCCACCTGTTGAGTGATGATGACATCAGTCAGATATTATTTGACAAAATTGTGAACTCGAACTTACCATGGCTTGTCACCTTGCTCTCCGGCAAAGATTTCGTTAGCGCCGGACGCATGATGACCGCCAGCTGCATACGTATACTCATTGCCCAAATCGACAAAGCCCCCTGTGTTGTTATTGCTGCGTTGACGAAAGTTTGCAACCGTTATCTCGCCTTCATCATCACCGCCAAGACCGAAGCGTTGCCAATCAACGGTGCGTCTATTGCCGTTACTTTCTACGTTATTACTCATACTTATGATGGTTGTCGACCCGCCGTCCGCCACCCCCGCGCCAACAGCTTTGACAGTATGCTATTGTTGTTGTTCTTACTTTATTTATGGCACCTCGAACGATTAGTTTGGATTTCTTCGCACGAGACGCACTGAGTTTTATACTGTTCTAAGCCAACCGTCGTTACAAACTGATTGTTATCCAATGCCGGAGTATTTGTTGCTGTTGCTGTTGCTATTTCTGTTTATGGTATCCAAAAACGCATCCACGCAAGCAGATTGTACTGAATTCAATGTGTAGCGCCTCTATGGCTTACTTACTGCTAGTGTGTGCTACAGCGTATATCATTGTTGTTTAGCGGTGCCATTAAACAGATCTGTCGTAGTTTTTAAATGCGTAAAAAAGTTAAATAAAAACACTTCTCATACATATACATACATATACATATAGCTCGGCAGCTCGTCATCGATAACATATTGTTGCTATTGCTGAGACGTACGATAACGATCACCCTGTCTATAGGCGCGTAAATTTAAATTATATCTGAATGTTGAACTGCAATTTTAAAATAAAATTTAAGATAGGTCTTAGAAAATTATTTTAAATTGCTTTAAAATTAATTATATTCGATAGTCTTAAAAAAAATGATTTTGAAATATCAGCGATGCATTTATCAGTGTTGCTACAGTTGAAATACTTATTAATATATCGATAGGCTTACAAAAATCATACGATATCGCAGCTTAACTCGATATGTTATGAACATCTCTACGCACGTGTTGATGTGTTGCTAGCTTTTTTAAAATTATCAAACATGACAAAAAAGCCGGATAAATCTGTTAAGCCTAAAACGAAGCTTGCAAAGCAAGAGAATGCTAAAACTTCTGCAAAGGCTGAGAACGGTGATTCCGAAGCGACCGGAATCTGGAAGGATGAGCGCTTTCAGCATTTGCTGTCTGACCCGCGTTTTCGCGGTGTGCCCAAGGTGCAACGCAAGGTGAAGATCGACAAGCGCTTCCAGGGTATGTTCGACGAAGAGAAGTTCAAAGTCAAGTATACCGTGGACAAGTATGGTAGGCCTGTAAATAAAACAAATGCTGAAGATTTGCGCAAGTTCTACGAGCTCGACGAGAACGAAAGTTCAGATGAAGACGAAGACGCAGAAAAGAAAAAGGCAGAGGATGCCGAAGAGGACGAGGAACGCCGAGCTGAGGAGCTGGCCATCATACACGACGATGACGGCAACGATGCTCTGCAGCTGAACAGCGATGATGATGTTTCCGACGTACCTGAGAGCCTACGCGAGCGTCTAACAGATGTAAATATCGACTATGCCCGCGGAGAGGGCCGCCTTCTGACTGACTCTTCGTCGGGCGAGGATAGCACGGACGATGAAGATGGTCCAGAGCTGCAGATTGATCACGTCTGGGGTGAATTGGATATAGATGCAGAGTGCACAGAAGAGTCGACACGACGTCTGGCCGTGTGTAACATGGATTGGGATCGCATACGAGCACAGGACTTAATGGTCTTGTTGAGTTCTTTTCTGCCTCCCGGTGGCAGCGTTCTTAGCGTTAAGATATATCCGTCCGAGTATGGTAAAGCCCGTATGGCCGAGGAGGATGTTCACGGACCCATCGAGTTGATTAAAGCCCCGCCCGAAATAGATCTCGACTCCGACGAGGAACTGGTGCGCGAGCAGGACAGCGATGCCGAAGAAGGCGATGACTATCACATGGAGAAGCTGCGTCAATATCAGCTGAATCGCTTGCGCTATTACTACGCCGTTGTTGAGTGCGACAGCGCCGCCACTGCTGACAAGGTGTACCAGGAGTGCGATGGAATTGAGTATGAGAGCTCAGCGACACGTGTGGATCTGCGTTTTATACCAGACGACACGGACTTCTCTGAGGACATGCCTACGGACGAGTGCTACGAGCTGCCGGATGCGAACAGCTATCAACCAAGACAGTTTACCACAACGGCACTGCAGCAGGCAAAAGTGGATCTCACTTGGGATGAGACGGCACTGGACAGGCGTGAGCTGGGCGACAAGCTGTCTAGCGGCAAGGTCGATCAGTTGAACGACAAGGAGCTGCGTAAGATTGTTGCCTACAGCAGTGACGACGATGAAGAAGAAGAGGAAGAGGAAGAAGAAAAGGACGTGGATTCGAAGAAGAAAGAGATTGATGACGAACAGACCACAAAGGAAACTCCTGCTGCCAAGAAGCCAGCTAAGGGTCTCAAGCAAAAGGAGCGCATCGAAAAGTATAAAAGTCTGTTGGCTGAAATCAACGCTCAGGAGCAGAAGTCGAAGGAGAAAAGCTATGAAATGGAAATGTCCTGGAATATTGAGGCGCCCGAGGATAACCAGACCAAAGAACCATCAAGTAGCAGCACCATAGTACCACTGACACCAATCGAAAAGGTACTGCAGAAGCGTAGCGAGAAGAACAAGCGTCGTAAGGAGCTGCGCCGTCGTAAGCAACTGGAACTCAAGGGCATTGATCCCGATGCGGCAGAGAGCAGCGACGACTCCATTCCCGATGGTATTGATATGAACGATTCATACTTTGCGGAGGAGTTTGCCAGCGGTGAGTACGAGAAGCCCAAACAGAGTAAAAACGCCAAATCGAAGAAGCAAAAGAATAAGAAAGCAACACCGAACGATGCGGAAGCGGAGTCAGAGGCGCAACTGGCGCTGTTGCTGGACGATGGTGACGAAGGTGACCAGCAGCCAAAGCAGCACTTCAGCCTGGCCAAAATCCTAAAGGAGGAGCAGGCCACCAACAGCAGCAGCAAGCGCAAGCGACGCAAGCAACTGAAGAAATCAAAGTCCGGCGAGGGCAAGCAGCAGGAGGAGGATAACTTCCAAGTCAATCTGAATGATGAGCGCTTCAATGCCATCTACAAGTCGCACGAGTTCAACATTGATCCCACGCACTCCAACTACAAGCCTACCAAAGGCATGCAGCAGCTGATAGGCGAGAAGCTGAAACGGCGCCACGCCCAGACCGAGCAGAAAGAGCAGGAGCCCGAGCCGGAGCCGGACAAGAAGCGTTCCAAGCAAGAGCTGGAGCGTCGCGCCCTGGTGAAGAGTCTCAAAATGAAGATGGGGCAACAGAAAAAGAAGGCGTAGGGTTAGACTACGGTTAAAATATATTGCTTATAGCATGTAAAATATTACGATCTACGATCTAAGAATTAATAATAAAATGTCTTTGAACACGAATTGCAATCACAGCATACAAACTCGAACTATAAATTAATACAGAAATTGGTTACAGTTACAAAATTGATATTAAAGTAGTATTCCTAATAGTCATAATTGAAGTATCGCGAATAAATCATCTGCGTAATGCATGGGTCAATGCAGATCAAATCGGGCAAGCAAATTCGTTGCTCTGGCTTGTAGACAACCATTAGTTCGCAGAGACGGGCCCAAATGGGTTTGTAGCGTCGCCGGATCACTTGGCAGTCCAGTCTGGGCTGTGCCATGACCTTGACGACACAGCGCACTTGCTTGAAGGGATCCGTTGGGCGGAGCAGGGACTGGAAGGGATTGCGGCCAAGGCACAGCTCGTACAGCACCAGGCCCAGCGACCAGATATCCGACTTGAAGTCACATTTGGCGCCACACATGATCTCGGGCGCCATGTAGAGCGGCGTACCGATCACCTGCCAGGGCTGTTGGCTGGCGGGCACATGCACGTTGGAAATGCCAAAGTCGGCATATTTGACGCGATCATTGGCATCCAGCAGCATGTTCTCCGGCTTGATGTCCCGATGAATGACGTGTCGTATGTGCAGATACTCCAAGCCCAAGATCATATCGGACAAATAGTGCAACAGTCGCCGTTCGCCCAGCCGTCCATTTGACTGATTAACTGTGTGGATGACATCGCGAATGGTGCCATTTGGCGCGTATTCCATCACAATGTTAACTGTGCCGGAGTGCATGAAGGAGCGTATGAACTGCACTATATGCGGATGCCGCAGCTGCGAGATGATGTAAATCTAAAGAGCACAGCTTGTCATTTTACTCAACAACATATTTACATGTACATACATACATATGTACATGCATGTATGTTTGTGCATTACCTCTTCTTTGATGAGACGTAGCTCATTCTTGGGATTCCGCATAATAATGCGTTTTACGCATACTTTACGTTCTTTGGGGCCATTGCGCTCCACGCATAAGAACACGCGCCCAAACGAGCCTTCGCCCAATACGCGCAAAGCTCGAATATTAGCGTCGCCTAAATCCATGGTAAAACTTATGCAAAACAATTTACAGTTACATTTCAGATGTCGCGCGCTATATCGATAGAACTGGTGCAGTTGTCACCGAAACGATTAATTGCTGTTTTCTGTAACTGGCTTATCAAATATAAAAAAATGTAATGTCTTAAAGTTAAAAGTCAATGATTTTTAATTTAATAGTAATTAGTTGGCTTGTTATATTAAATTAAACTAGAAAGTATATTTTTTCATATGGTACTTAAGCTACTTGAATTATTGCTTCAGCATATATACATATATACATATATATACTTTGGGCAGCATTGGCCATTATATGGGCCATTATATATTATATAT